GGTCCGGCAGCACCTCCAGCAGGCAGGGCAGCACGGCGTCCTCCGGGGGCTGCTTGTAGAAGGCGCTGGCCTGCGGGAGAGAGGGGACACGGTCGGGGCGGCTCTCGCAGCAGGGGTCCTCTGAAGTGCCCCTGGGGAGTTGTGTTGGGTGCCCTGAGGTGCCCCGGAGGAGCTCTGTTGGGGGCCTGGAGGTGCCCCTGAGGACCCATGCTGAGCACCCCGAGGTGCCTCAGAGGAGCTGTGCTGGGCGCCCCGAGGTGCCCCTGAGGAGCTCTGTTGGCACCTCACAGGCTTGCCCTTGGAGCTAAGCCATTGCCACACTGGGGCCTTGGGGTCCCTCTGGGCAGTCTGGGGGTTTGGGAGCTGTTCCCTAGGTGCTGTGCACTCTTATCCAACTCTGAGGTGGTGGTGGTGGGGGGGCTGGGAAGGTGCTCCTCGGGCTGGGAGAGCTGGAGAGGGCTCAGCTGCAGAGCAGAGGGTGTCACTGTGAGGTGTTGGGGCCAAGGCAGCTCCCTGGCCGTGGGGGCCCTGCTGCAGCCTCCTCACCTGGCTGTGCTTGCTGCTCTCATTGAGGAAGTTGCCCAGTGCGCGGTGCAAGTCAGGGACAGGGGGCCAGAGCTTCTGCTTCACGCTGCTAGGCGGGAGGAAGAGGGGTGTAAAAGGCAAACCCCAGTCCCAGTGTGCCTGGCCTGTGGAGAGCCCGTGAGATGGGGTGCCCAGGCCTGGTGCTGCACCCACCCCAATGAAGTGCAGGCAGGAGGTGCGTGTGGGTCAGGGCTTACCTATACAGGGAGGGGAAGGTGCACCTCAGCCCCAGGAGCATTCCTGTGAAGAGCAGTGGCACCACCACAACGCTTGGGATGGTCCAGCCTGGGTTGGAGGAGAAGCGCTGAGAAGGCAGAGCTCCCCAGGTCCACATCTCTGTGCTGCTCACAGCCCTGTCACCCTCCGCCTAGTGCTCCACATCCCATTTCCAGCATCCTCAGCCTTACGCCTTCAGCCCTACAGCTTATCCAGCCACAGCCTCTGCCCTACCCCTTACCCGCATCAGCCGTGGCATCAACCACAACAGGTTTGGACCAGGCGCTCCAGTTGCCTTGGTACCATGGCCCGCTGGGCTGGGCTCGCACCTGGGCAAGGTAGCGGGCGCCAGGGCGTAGGTCCAGGACTTCTTTCCTGGCTGCTCGTGGGACTTGCAAGACCTGCAGGGCAGCGCTGAATTAGAGATGACAGCTGCTGTGGGGCTGCAAAAGGGCAGAACTGGGACTAGGGTCTGCCCTACCCCACCCCACGCAGGGGCTGAGCACCAGCAGCAGAGAAGGGCCAGGGCTACTCAGGGGGGGCCCGGTGTGTGATGGGCAGAGGGGGCCTGCCCACCCCACTACCTTCCAGTCATGGCTGTTCTCCACAGAGTAGCGGAGCTGATAAGCCAGCTGCTCCGCCAGCTCCTCCAGGGGTGGCACCCACTGCAGGCTCAGCCGGCCCTGCACTACCGTGGCCTGCAGAAGCCGTGGGGGGTCTGTGAGCACTGTGAAGACAAGGACATGTCACTGCCAGGGGACCCTGCTCCTTTGGAGTCTGAAGAGCCTCCTGCCAGCTGGCCATGGGCAGCATTGGTTCTGGGGACTCACCAGCCTGGTGCAACCAGAAGGGTTCCCTGAAGTAGCTGAGCGTGGGCCGCGCATGGGGCCACGTGACGTTCACCAGGACAGAGATGGCACTGCCAGCCCTGGGCTGAAATGTGCAGGTGTGGGTGCCCTGCGCCCCTATGCTCACCACCTCACATCGCTGCCATGCTTCTTCCCTGCGGAGGGAGCGGGGAGCGTGTCAGCCCCTGAGCTGTGGCCCTGCTGCCTTTACTCTCTGCCAGACCCACTCAGCTGTGGGGTTCGCTCTGGGGCAAAGCCACTCTTGTCCCCATCAGGCCAGCACAGCTTTGCTCCTCTTGCCGTTGTTCAGGAAAACCAGGGCAGCCCCAAGTTAAAGAATCAGCAAGGCCTGGTGTAACAGTGGGAGGTGTGGTGTGTGTGGGCAGCACAGGACGTGGCATGGTGTGAGGCAGATCGTGGCGTGGCAGGGCACGGCGCAGGCGGCACAACGCCGGACACGGCACTGTGCAAGGTGGCAGTCCCCAGGATGTGCTCCCCCTGCCTGTGTCCCAGGCATGCCCTTACCTTTTGCCAGCCCTGCTCTGGGGCGCCCGGTAGAAGAGCTCATGGGAGCTGCTGGCATCTGCGGGGTCCCAGCTCCACTCGCAGCGCACATGCTGCAGGTCAGGGGTAGTGCAGAGCAGGCCGATGTCTCCTTGGCAGGCAAGAGCACAGGAGCCAGAGCAGGGAGAGGGCTGCTTCCCCTCACCCTGGGTGCTGCACCTCACTTACCCCTAGGCCCCCCCCACCTCGTTCTCCCTAGATGTATGCGCCCTCCCTGCTGGGCTCAGCACCATGCTTGGCCCGTTGTCTCGCACAGAGCCCTGGCAGTGGGGACAGCCACTCACCAGAGGAGTGGGGTGTCTCTGCAGCCACTGCCTGGGACCAGGGGCCCCACATGCCATCCATGGAGAGGCCATCAGGCTTGCTGCGCACCTGGATGTGGTACCTCACCCCAGGCTGCAGGTCCCTCAGTAGCACCCAGCTGTTGGTCTGTACCAGTCCCTGCAGGAGAGGGGTGAGGCTGAGGAGCATCTGTGGCCCCCAATTCCCCTGCCCGGCTCTAGCCCCAGCCCCAGCTCCAGTACATACTTGCCCCACACCCAGGGAGGCTGCAGCTCCCTCAGGCATGGGCAGCTGGGTGCTGCTGGCCTGCAGGACCGAAGGGTCTCCAGTGCGCTGCCCGCTGGGATCCAGCATTACACTGCAGGGTGCCTCCCCAGAGCCCTCTGCACAGTAACGGACTTTGTAGAGGAAGAAGTTCAGGTAGTCGGTGAGTGGGGGCTGCCAGGTAACCCACAGCTGCCCCACCACCCCTGTCCAGGTGGCCGTGATGTTCGTTGGTGGGGCAATGAGACCTGCGAGGAAGATGCCAGAGTGTTGGCCCTCCTGGGCATGTCCCCGCTGGGTTGTGCCAGTGAGCTGAGGGACACCCTGTCATCGCCCCAGGGGCTGCCTCCATGCCAGGCCCCAGCAGGCAGGATCTGGGGTATTACAGCTCCTGCAGGGACTGCTGCAGGCTGTCACCGTGTGGGGCTGGTCCAAGCCTGCCCACGATGACGACTGTGGTGGGCAGAAGGGCAGGGAGGATGGAGAGTGGGGTCCAAGTGGAGCCCTGGCTGGGGCCAGCTGCTGCTGCACAGGGCGCCACAGGAGGGACTTACCCACTGCATCCACGCTGAGCTCCCGCGAGTACTTGGTCTGGTTGCTGGTGGCGTTCACAACAAGCACGGAGAGCTGGCTGAAGAGCCGCACGTCCTGGCTGGGGAACACGCAGACATGCCGCGTCCCGCCGGCCCCACGGCTCTGCGTGGAAACTGCGCACACCTTGGGCACCTCCCTGGGGAACGGAGAGTCAGGGACCCTCCACTGGGGGCAAGTTTCAGCAGAGCGGTCTTGGGACATGGCACCAAGACCTTAGCAACCAGACGTGCCACCAGCTCATTCCCCACACCCCTGCCCATCACAGGACACCTTTCTGGTGAGACTGAGGCAAGACCTGGGAAACCAGCGGTCCCAGCCCTGCCATGGAAATGCAGTAAATACCCTGTAGCTTGCAGCAGGCGCTCCAGCCTCTCCTTGCACCCAGGGGATGGCCATGGAGAACCCCGGCACAGCAGGTGCCATGGGAGCTGGGCCCTGTCTGTCTAAGCATGTGCGGGGCTGGGCCAAGGGGAGGCTGAGCAGCATTGGCACCATGTCCTACCTGCTGTACCAGTAGTAGAAGTGGCACTTCCCGTTCACAGCCTCCTCTTCCTCCTCATCCCAGAAGCACGTGAGGTCCTCGAAGGAGCGGGAGAAGCAGAGGATGTCCTCAGACACCTCATCCAGGAGCGCAGCATCTAGGAGGAGCGTGGGCATGAAGGAGTTCCTGGGCACAACCCCATGCCCCACGTCCTCCTCCATGCCCCATGCCAGCTTGCCCCTGAGGCCTGTCTCTGCGCTGGGGCTGGGGAGTGGGTGTGAACATCCTCCACACCAGCTGCGACACAGGAGGGACACAGCGCCCAGGCCAGCTTGCCAGTTCACGTTGGGGTCCTGGCTGGCAGCACAAGGCCCCGCCAGCCAGGCCTCACTGCTCCCCCTTCCTCAGCACATGGGATCCTTTCGGACAAACAAACATCCCAAAATAGCTCTGTGGTCAGAGTAAGGAGCAGGCCCTGGCCCAGGCTTGGCCAGGCCTGGAGATCAGTGGGAAGTGCTCACTGCCCTGCTCACGCCGGTGATAGCGCTGGCTGCGGAAAGGCACGTGGAAGTGAGATAAGGAGGAGCAGTGCCTCAGGGGGGAGGGCTGGTGAGGGGGCGCGCGGGGCGGCTGCCCATGCTGCTCCCTGGCTGCTGTCCTGAGCACAGGAGCTGCTAGCTCCCTGGAGGGGGGCAGCTCAGTGGGCTGAAGGTTTCTCCAGCCTGCTTGGTGAGTTGCCCTCCCTGTCATCGCAGGGGTAAAGCAGAGCAGGGTCCAAGTGGGACCTCTCAGCAGGGAGCGTTGCATCCAGCATCAGCCCCCTCCTGAGCCACGATCGTTCTGCTGGCATGCCAGGAACTGTCCCCATTGGCACGGAGAAGGGGACAGCCCTGAGGGACACAGATGTGTGTCATGCAGGGGGTAGAGCGGACACAGCCTGCCTCACTGCTTCCCCATCACCGCTCCAGCACCCTCCTTCTCCCTCATGGCTTCTGCCCCAGGGTCTGCCCCAGCCTTCCTCCTCCTGGGAAATGGTCCATTTCCCCCAGGAGCTGTCCTCAGCTAGAGGACACTGCAACAAGCTGTGTGCCATTGCCTTGCCCTGCTCCATGTGCTGAGTGTGCCCGTTCTCTGCTCTGCAGCCCCCTGCACAGCCCTGCAGCTGGCTGAGCCCACCTCGAGACAAAGGGAGTGAGCACAAGAACAAGGACAGTCTCCGATGTCCTTGCCACTCTCCCAGTGTCCCCCTGCTCCCCCTTTCCCTGACCCCCCAACCTGGTTCCTCCCTTCCCAGCCCAGCATTGCCTTCCTCCTTCAGCCCACGTCCCTCGCCACAGACCACAGCCTCCTTGCTGTAGTGCTCCCTCCTGCCCTGCTCTTCCCTTTCTGCACCCTCCTGCCCCAGCCTGCCCCTGCCCGGTTGTGCGCCCTCAGTCTCGTGCCAGCACCAGGCCTTCCCTGGGCACGACAGGCCGTGCTGGAGGACGGGCCCCAGTGGCCTGGGGGCACGGGGACTTGCTTCCCTCTGCTCGGGCTCCATCCCACGGTGCCAGTGGGAGCCCGCACCGGTCCTATGGAGTATCTTTCTTTGCTCAATGCTGGCAATTTCTTTCAGCAAAACTCGCTGTACAACATGGCAATCCACGTGAATGGCGCTTAGATGTAACGCTGTTCACCCAGCAGCAGGCTTAGGGCAAAGCAACCCTGCAGAGGCAGCGAGCAGAGGGAGGATGAGCCCTGTCCTTCCTCCCACCCCTTGCAGGGGAGGCCCTGCACCTAAGGGAGTAGCTTAAAACAGCAGTTTTGGCCAAGTGTCATGTTCCTGAGTCTGCTGCAGCAGCCTGGCCAGGGACCGTGTGTAGGCTCTGAAAAGATGAGTGCAAGAGCAACAGAATTTTGTTCAGTTAATATTTTTTTAATGGTATTATAGAAAGTATTAAAAGGTCTAAAGGGTAGATAGGGTAGACAGTCCCCAGAAAGTGTGGACAGACCTAACGTATAATGAAGTTGCAAAGATGTACTGCAAAGCAGCAATGAGCCAGGCTTGAGAGAGCTAAGGCAGAACTGAAGAAAGTCGTGTAGACAGTAAGGTGACACCAGGTCAACAGCTCTCAAAGCTGCTGTGTGCTGCAAGGGTGGCACGTGGGCACTAGGATTAGCCAAGCAGGTGCCTCTGTGTCACCCATGGTCTAAAGTTGTGCCTTCAGATTTTAGCTTGAATTTTATTCAGACCTTGTCATTATAACCCCAAGAGCCTTGGTGTGGCTTGAATGAACAAAGAGCTCCTTTCTGTTACCTGCGAGGGGCAGGGAGCAGCGTGACTCCGAGTGAGCCCACAGGGCTGGGAGCCAGGCCTGAGGCTGTATACTGCCGTCCGCAAGGGCTGCCCTGGGGCTGCCCGGTCCTTCCTGCAGGCAGCAGGGACCCCCCTTCCTCCAGGCACACTGCAGTGCCCTGTGGGTGAGATCGGGGCTCCATCACCCACCCCAAGCACCCATCCCAGCTCACCCTCTTTGCTCCTGCCCAGGGGCCACAAGCACCCCACAGACCCCCCTTTGACCCCTGCACCTGGCCATCAGCACAGCTGCAGCCCCACTCACATCCCTTAAACCTCTCCTCTCTGCGCCTGCCCCCTCATCCTGCAGTGCAGGGCAGGAGGAGGGGGCCCTAATTCTGCACATACCCCACTGCTCTGAGAGTGCTTGCTGCCCCATCCACAGGGACCATGTCCCTCTGGCTTGTCCCTTGCAGAAGAAAGCGAGCCCCGAGGACCTACCTTCAGATGTCACTGGCTCCGGGAGGGCAGCCCGGGCGAGGCGAGGCTGAGCAGAACCTCCACAAGCAGGGAGAGAAGCCACCCCTGGCGCAGCCAGGTGGCCATCCCTGCCCCACGTGGAGCCGCCCCGGGGTGTGGGGCAGCGCGTGCCCTGGCTCCGCTCTTTCCAGCACCCCAACTTGCTGCTGGAGCTCCTACAGGCAATACCTTTATCTGGGAAGTGTCAACTTTGCTGCTCAGGAAGCCTGGCTGAAAGGCTCCCTCCACCCCCATCGCCGGCACTTCCCCGTGCCCGAAACCACGGCGCTGTGGCCTCTCCACCAGCCGCAGTGCCAAGAGAGGCTGCTCCTATCAGATAGGCAGCACGTCCTGCCCTTGTGGCTACCGGGCACACTGGGAGGCTGGAATAGGAAGAAAAACAACCCCCAAGAAATGAGTGAGGCCCCCATTTGGGGCACGCACAGGCGGCCGGGGCCGCACGCCCTGCGCTGCCCCTGCTACCACTGGCACGCGGGGAGCGTGGGGCAAAGGAAGCTGGTGCTGTCCCATCCTGCGCTGCCCTTTGCAGGGCCCTGAGGCCACTGCACCGGGTCTGCTTTGCATGGACTAGTATTGCCTAGGGCTCTCCCAGGAGGAGGACTACAGTCACTGGGGCATTGGCAGTGCGCACACAGACACTCACAGTGCCATAGCACGTGCAGGGATCAGGACACGATGGCCCTTATCCTGTATCACAACTGCAAGAGCTGCAGTCATGCTTGAAGCACCTGGGCAGAGCCCCAGAGCTCCTCTCTACTCCCCCAGAACCTCCTCCAAAAGCCAAAAACAGCCCTTAGAAAGGGAGGGGAGAGGAGCCTCCACCTCGAACCTGCAGTGGACGCCACCAACATACATACTCACATGCACACACACACATACAGAGCACCAGCTACATGCATGTGACACAAATGTGGGACCACAGTAGGGTCCCACAAAGCTGCTCTGCTTTGTGCCCTTCTGCTACTGCAACAGGGTGCTGTGCAGCCAGGCCGCGGGCAGGAGAGGATGCAGCCGGACCAGAGGAGTGTTTGACCCTGCCATTGGCTGTGGTGCAGGACTGTGGCATCCATGGGGAGTGCCATCCGGGGCTCAGGGACTGCCACCTCGCCAGTGCTCGCACACGCATCCCCACTGCACTGCTGGGCTGGGCTTGCTGCCTTCTCCTGGCCCTGCAGCAGCAGGAGACAGCACCACCAGCCAGCCCCAGGGCACAGAGAGGAGAGGAGGAACAGCCAACACCCATTTGTCATGGTCAAATTTTGTCAAAACAATCCCACTTTTCCATCTGACTAATGGGCTCTGCAGTCAGAGAAGCAAGAAGTAGAACCTTCATTTCAGTGAGGCCAGCGGCGCTGCCTCACACACCATTCCCCACAGTGGCCTTGGCTCAACAGGGCAAGAGGAGGTGCAAGCGGTGCATGTCGTCAGGCTGCACAGCCATACAGGACCTCAGGGGCTGGTCCGAGTCACCTTTCACTAAGGACCTCAGTGATGGGGGAAGAGAGGATTCTTGTTAATGGCTGCAGCTGACACCAAATAGTACTGGAGGCCAGCATGGGAAATCATAATGGTATCAACACATTTTAAACATGATCTGGGGAAAAAAATAAGATTATTTCCAAGGCGGACCAATGCCCAGTATGGTACTTACGCACCTACCTTGGGAAGGGATAAAAGGCTCTGGTGGAACAGCCCTCACTTTCCATAGACTGTAGAAGATGACTAGATGACTAGTTTGGCTGCACACCTACGGCTTAGGAAACTAAAGTTAAAGACCAAGCCCAGCCACTGCCAGTATAACAAACTGCACAAGCCCAGGATGAGGACTACCTGCCCAGGCAGGAGCTCCCAAGAGAGGCATCTAGCATCATAGCAGATCCCAGGCTAAACTTAAGAGAAATGTATTGTTGCCAAAAAGGCTCACATTAGAGTGGGGTGTTCAAACAGGATAGTCACCTAGGAAAATGCATGAAATGACCCTCTAGCTTGACTCAGCACTGGGTGGACATCAGCTGGCCATGGGGTGGGAAGAGTCCAAGGGCGAGCCACAGCAACGCTCGGGGACACAACCTGCACTGGGGGAAACACTGGAGGAACTGGGGTTGTTCTCCATAAAGAGAAGACAGCTGAGGGGAAGCTGCAATAACAGTTTTCAGACATGTGAGAGGCTGCTGCACAAAGGAAGGAAATAATTTGTTTTCCATATCCTTGGGGGACAGGACAAGCCACGGTCTTAAATTGCAGGTGGGGAGATCCCAGTCTGATATAAAGAAAACCTTTCCCACTGTGTAATGAAACCTTGGGCTTGTCTAGGGACACCAGGGAATCCCCGCCTTTGGAGGATCTAGACAGCCGACAGGATCCCAATGAATCACCACTGCAGCAGACTGGCAGGGCCCCAGGCCCCTTTCTGCAGGGCCTTCAGCAACACAGAGCTGGCAGCCCACCTCCCCTTCCCCAGACCTTGGGTGTCTGTTGCACTGTGTTTATTGAACAGAAAGCAGAACCGCCAATCTCCAAAGGGTTGGTGCAGAGCTGGAGGCCATGCATGGCTAGCGCCATCCTTTCTCGCACCCTGGGGCTGCCTCATCCCATGCTGGTGGCAATGTTTGCAGCCTTACCAGGGCAGTGCTCAGGACCTGGCGCAGACTCAGACCCAGAGCATGCTGAGAGACTGCAGGGCAGTGAGCTGCCAGATCTCTGCTTTCATCTCTTGCCCCAGACGATGGGCATTTGTGTCCTCGTGCATAGGCCAGTTCCTACACACTGCCAGAGGTTGGGGCTGCAGCATCCTCCAGCTCCTAGGAGAGCCCTTCTCCTGCCTTGACTCTGCCGCAAACACCATGCAGGGCATGCAGCCAGGGTCTTGTCCTTTGGGGACATCCCAGCATGTCCCCTAGCTGTGTGGATCCACTGTCAGAGGCCAGTGGCATGCCAGCCTGGCCAGCACACCTTGGGAGGCAGCCAGGGAGGGGACAGTGCAGTCCTGCTGCGTGGAAGGGCACTCTCAAGAAGAGTCACAGGCGTTTGGGGCTCTGACCCAGGGGGGACAGGCAGCCACTCATTTCCACCGCACTATCCCAGCAGGCCAGGGGCCAGTGTTGTCTCTCGGAAGCAGGGCCACAATCCAGCATAGCCGGGCAGCCAGCTGCGTGGTGCTGGGCGCAGCCTCACGCTTCTTCTGCAGTGGCATCAATCCCTGCATAGGTGAAGTTCTCGAACAGGGCCATGTTCACGTAGGCCTGTACAGGGAATCCAAGTCAGGAGCAGGTTGTGACAGACTCCCTGTCCCCATCCCCCATCCCACACCCAGTGGCAAACTTGCAGGTGCTGCACCCCAGGGCTGGGAGCCTGCAGAGCTGCCAGGGGGAGCCACTGCACTTGGTGGGCTTCAGACAGGGATTGGTGTTGGATGCCCCCCAAGCAGGGGGCTATCCAGGGACTCCCCCAGCCTTTGAGCCCTGTGCAGGGCATCTGCAGGCTACCTGTACACTGCTGGGCATCTCTCTAGCGCTCCTCAGGGAGCCAGCAGCGCCTGGAGCCTTCCATGCACAGAACCCGTGCCCAGCCCAGGGTGACGCAGGCACCTTGCACCGAGCCGTGTCTCCATGGACACCCACCTTTCTGGCCTCCAGCATGCGGATGAGTTGCATGGAGATCTGGGCAAACGGTGGGCGCTCATAGGGGCGGTCACGCCAGCACTGCCGCATCAGTTCATACCTGGGGGCAGAGACCCATGCCAGGTCAGTGTAGGGGGGCAGAGGAGGGCAGCAAAGCTGTTTATGTGAGATAGGGAGAAGCAGGTGCAGAGGCAAAGCGTGGGGATGGGTGTCTGGGACACGGGACCCCAGCTCTTCTCCCAGTAATGGTGCACAGGCAGATCAGCCAGGGAGAGCCCACTTGGGTGGTGGGGAGCACTGCTGTCAAGCCAGACCAGAGCCCAGAGGGACTGGCTCCGTTCAGCACAACAGCCCTGCTCTCAGGACAGTGCATCCACTGAGCCCTGCCCTGGGCCAGGGCTCTTTGCTCACTTACACCTCGTCATCACAGTTGCGTGGCTTCTCCATGCGGTAACCCTGAGGGAGCTTCTCGTAGAGCTCGGCACACGTCATCCCACAGTACGGTGTCCCCCCTGAGGGTGAGAGACATAGATGTGGCTGTGATGGGGACAGTTTCCTCATCCTCCAACACAGAGCCCTGGGCAGGCCCTCACATGGTGCTGCCTGCCCATCCCTGGGGCAGTGCCTGGGTGGCATGCTGTGCCCCAGGCTCACATCCACCACTCCTCAGGGCTCCCAGGGAGTCCCTCCAAGGCTGCAGAAGAAGGACCAGCGCTCTGCCAGACCTGCAGGGACCCAAATGGGCACTGGGGACTAAGAAGAACCTTACCCAAACTGACAATCTCCCAGAGCAGGACACCGAATGACCACCTGAAATAGAAGAAGACCAGGCTGTGACACAGAGCTGCTAGCTGTGTCCCACTCATGAGCACAGGCATGAAGCCGGAGGGGTTTGTGCTGGGACTGGGACAGGGCTAGGGCTGAGCTGCAGCCAGGAGAGCAGCCAGGAGAGCATGGACAGACAGACTCAGGCAGAGCTGGCAGATCCCCAAGGCTGCATAAGCATTACCTTCCGCCCTTGCAACACCCAGAGCAAAAGCAGTGCAGTGCCAACTGCCCTGGGGGAACAGAGCGCCTCAGAGAAGGATAGAGGTGGCCATTTCTGTGTCCCCAACCCATGTGTTTTGCCTATGGAACTTACACATCACTCTTGGTGGTATACACGCTGTAGTTCAGGGACTCAATGGCCATCCAACGAACCGGCAAGCGACCCTGTGGAAACAGAGAATGATTGTCAGGGTGGGGGCTTGCCCTGCAGATAGAGGGCAGTGCAGGGATCCCTGCCACAGACCAAGCAGCAGCAACGGCTCCGCTCAGCCTCGAGGTGGGACAAGAGCAAAGGACGAGCTGAGCCAGGATCCATCCCCTGAACCCCAGGTCCAGGCTGCTAATCCCAGCATGGTGAGTGTTCCCGCTGCTGGGGAAGGATCCTGCCCACCAGATCTGTGCAGGCCCCATGGAGACTCCTAGCTCCTGCCTCACCATTGTCTTCTTCACATAGACCTCCTCCCCTCTGGAGAGCCCGAAGTCGGCAATCTTGGAGGCCAGATTTTCTCCCACCAAGATATTCCTGGCTGCCAGGTCCCTGTGAATGAACTGAAAGAGGCCATAAGTGAGCTACACCAGCTCGCCAAAATCACAGCACTTTGAAGATGTGGAGGGGTAGAGTTGTCTGGGATGTTTCTGCTCTCCCTGGACCTGTCAGACATCTGCTCCTGTTCCCAGCAAATCCTTGTCAGCTTCCTGAAACTCCAGGAACCTTGACCTCTCCTCTGACTGAGTAGGGACCAGGGAGTGGAGAGCTGAGCTGAGAGCTGAGACTTGAAACCAAGACGGGGGTATCAATGATCAAGAGCCAAATTCTCCATTCTGCTGGACCCAGGGGTCTTATGCTCCGCTTGGGAGCCATCAGGCTCATGGTGAAAAGATGCTCTGGGAAGGTTTGCCAGAGAGGAGAGCAGGACCTTGCACGTCTGTCACACACATGCTCAGGCAGCCCAAGGCCTGGGCCCTGGGCTGTGAGCAATGCAGGCCCTTGGCTGGGGGGAGGCGGGAGCATACCTGCTTCTCACTCAGGTACTGCATTCCCTTGGCCACATCTGAAGCAAACTGGAGGAGCTGTTGGGAGGTGAGGGTGGACGCAGTCCCATGCTCTTTGGCAAAGGCTGGGTCAGTTTCCAGGACTCGGCTTTTGCGGAGGAAGTCAAGGAGGTTTCCATAGGGGGCATACTCAATAGCAATGTACAGGTAGCCTGCAGGGAGGAGGAGGAGGAGGCAGAGGTTATTGGATGCTGTCAAGGAAAGAGGAAAGCTCAGATGAGCAGGAGACAATGTGAGGCCGGAGATACCAGCCCAGCGAAGAGAGGGGGCAGCCCTCACCCTTGTTCTCACAGGCACCCAGCAAGTTGATGATGTTGGGGTGATGGCCCAGTTTGCATAACACCTCCAGCTCCCCAGCAAAGTCCCGATGGTCATTCTCTGAAGCAAACTCTGGAAGAAAAGCAGGAACAGACTCCTCAGTCCTACATTAAGGGTCCTTCTGCTGCTCTCCTGCAGCCCAGCTCCTGCCCTCTCTTTGGTCAAGAGTGGTGCTCAGGATGCGGTCTTGTAGGGGCTGAGCTTATGGAAAGAGGGAAGCTCCCTGCTCCTCACCCCATCCTGCCACGTGCTTCTTCCTCTGCCGTGTACCACCTCTGAGCTGACTGAATTATGCTGAGCTGGCCAAAAATTCACTCCACAAAAAGAGTGAGTATTTTTGGCTGGCTTGGTGAGTAGACTTCCCTTCCTGTGTGCTGGAAGGCCGGCAGGGCAGCACCCGGGAGGGTCCAGCTTGGCAGCAAGAGCCTTGGTAGCCACCCCTCACAGTGCAGCTGTGCAACAAGGTGATCACCCAAGGTACCACCCAGGTTCGGCATGGGGATACAAAGCAAAAGGCTGGCACCATCCCCGTGCTTCCTCATAGACTCAGTGGGCACCACAAGCTTACAGGCTTCCTAGGCTGCACTGTGTGGGTAGCATTTGGGGATGCTAGAGGCTAAGGATACAGACTGGGGCTCTGCCAAGCTGTGAGCAGTGCTTCTGGGCAGAGCCAGGGAAGGTTTAGAGGGGTTGACATAGATACCCCTCGTTTCGGCTACTCCTGTTTGGACCCAGGGCCAGAGGCTGGAGGCCTGTCCTGGTGCAGATAGGCCTTTTGCCACTTCTCAGTATCTTCTTTGTATGAGTCCTGGCATGAGGAGGGGCAGCCAAGACCTCTGATGTCATTCTTAAGACTGAGCCCTCGCCATGATAGGACACTCACCTTTCAGCATCTTGATGGCTGCGTTCATTTTCAGGCCGTCCTTTTTGATCATAGCTCTGATGACCTGACCAAAGTTCCCCTCCCCAATCATATCTTCAAACTTGATGTCTTCCCACTCCAAGATGGGGTAGCTAAGGGGCTCAGGCTGCGGCTTGGGCCGGCGTGTCAAGGTCAGAGTTCCCGAGTTGAACTGCAAGATGGTCTCTTCCCCCTGGAAAACAGGAGTGGGTGAGGTTAGAGGCACCAGGCACCCCTCTGCCCTTGTGGCAGGCCCAGCAGGGCAGGAGTCATGGGCAAGGACAGGCTCCGCACCCTCTCCGCGTGGAAGTGAGGCCTGGCTGCATCCGGACTGGAGGCTACAGAGCGTGACCTGGATCGGGCTGGGACGTGGGGAGCTGGGGACACGGTCCTGGTGGGGCAGGCGGCACTCACCGAGCCAGACTGGTACGTAAAGGTGCGGCGCCGGTGGAAAAAATTCTTCTTGATGAGGAAAAGCGCAAGGAGAGCAAAGAGGATGGTGAAGCAGGTGACGGACACAGAGCCGATGATGGCCAAGAGCAGCTGTTGGTCTACTCCTGACTGCTCGGTGCTGTGGCTGCCCAGGCTGGGCGGCACGCTCAGCGCTCCTGCCAAAAGAAATGATCAAGGATCTCGGTCCATGGCTGAGCCCCCATGGCTGAATCAGCCTGGCAAACAGGGCTGTAGAGACAGGCCAAGCAGCTGCTGCCAAGCTGGGCTTCAGAGACCCCATAGCTCTGCCCCAGCAACCCAGGGTGCTGCTCCCAGGCACCCACATAAACTCCAACCACAGATACACCTGGAGGGCAGGGTGGCATGGAGGTGAAGGTGTTACTGCACAGGCTTCTGCTGCCAAGCGCATCGGTTTCTGGACCTCTGCCCAAGCTCTGCTTCCTCCCTGCTCTCTTCCAGCCGTCAGCTCCTCCCTGGTACCAGCTCTGCCCTGCTCCTTTAGCTCTTTGCACACAGTGTCACCCTCTGGCCAAGGCACAGCTATTCCATGGGTGCTGTGCTGTCACCATGTCTCCCTCGCCCTGCTCAGGGCTAGGTGGAACAGGATTTCTGAAGAGACCTGCCAGTGTTTTGGGCTTGTGCTGTTGCTTCAGAGCAGCTCTCTGAGATTACCATGAGTGCTCCGGTCTCCCTTTGCCAGCCCAGGCACTGAGCCTGAGCTCCATAAAAGCCTTGTAAACCACCCTACCTGTAGTGAGTCAGGCAGCGGGCACGGCTGGGTCCAGGGGACCCAGAGAGTGCTGGGGTCGCACAGGCGGGAGCACCAGCCAAGCGACTGTGTTGGCACAGGGAGGCCCAGATGTTGTCCAGGTGTGTGCCCTGCTGGGACGCCTCACTCACCATCCCCCAGGGTCTTAGCTTTCACAGGCTGGCTCCACTCTCCTGGCACGTGGGAGTTGGCCCGGACACGGAACTGGTAGTTTGTGCTGGCATTGAGGCCCCCGATGGTCTTGGTCGTCTCCACGCCGCTGTCTGTGTCAATCCACTGGGGTTCACTGGTTCCCCCCACCTGCTGCAGCTCCACTATGTACTTGGTGATGCCCCCATTGGGGTACTCGGGGACCTGCCAGGAGAGCCTGACTGCAGTGTCAGACAGGGACTCTGCGGAGAGTGACCGTGGGGAGGAGGGGCCTGGGACAAGGAGAGGAGAGAACGTCAGCCCCCGGCCGGGGGGTTGGGAGGCTCTGGGCTCCCAGCATTTGGCAGGCTGGGCAGTGAAGGGAAAGCCAGACCCCTCCAGTCACTGCAGACAATAACGGCAACCAAAGACACATCAGGTTTGAAGGTACCTTCAGGGACTGCCTAGTCCATGCTTGCATGGAGGCAGTGCAAGGCAGACAGGCCACCGCTTCCGGGACCTGCTCTCAGGAACCTCTGTGGGAGCTGAGTTTACGGCAACCCAGGTACCAGAGGCAACGCTCACCGATCTCAGAGCAGGCAGAGCCACCAGCTCCTTCCTGAAGCAGCTATGCTGTAAACTGAGAGGACTTCTTGTCCATCCCTTGGCTGCCATGCACAGCAAAGATCACAGTCCTTTTTCTAACAGCCCTGCATAGGCTGGAAGATTGCTTTCAAGCCACCTTTCAGTCTTACCTTCCCTGGCTCTACTCCTCAGGAAACATGAGGGCACCAATGCAGGTCAGACCAACTCCCCAGTAACTTCCCTCCATAAGTGGCCAGAAATGGGTGGGCTTGCAAGGGTTTAACAGCGGGGCAGGACTGCACCCCAAACACTTACCCAGCCTCAGGGATTCTCAGGCTAGATGTCTTTGTATTTAATAGCTCTCACAAGATTTTTTTCTCTTCAGCCCTTCCTCACACAGTGTTTTCTAAGCATCTTACAGTTCACATGGCCTCCTCTGAACCTTCTCCCATCTGTCCATATGCTTGTTAAACCACCTTCCCCGACCCCAAATTACACAAAGCTCTTACAGACACAGGGTGCACAAAAATTACATCTTCCAAGCCTTATATGCAACAGTCCTCCTAACACATACCAGAACAAGATGTGTTTTACCAAAGTCACAAGCCTTATGTACTGCTTCCCCCTTATCTACCAGGCCAGTTTCCCTGTCAAAAAGGGAAGTCAGACTTATTGGACATGATTTGTTCTTCCCCAGTCCACAATGACTGTGTTCCACCTCCTCACTATCTCCTAGCTCCACGCAGGTTGACTGTTTGTTTGTTTCACTGGAAAGAGCGACTACAGATTTCTCTCAGTACAAGCCCTAGTGACCACCCAGTGAAATTATCAGGCATCAGGATTAAAATAAATGAAAGGAAATAATTGTTTACATAACATGTAATTATATTAAGGAACTTGTTGCTACAGGATGTTGTAAAGCCCAAAAGTAAAGATAGTTCAAACAGGGCTTTGGACAAGGACACAGAGGACAGGTCTATTTGTGAGCAACGCTCATGATGGCCTAAAGATAATGCAGCGCTTAGGATGTTTCCAAACTCCTTCGTGCTGCAGGCTGCAGGGCATAGTGAGGAAATGAGGACTCTTTTTGCCAAGTATCTGCATGTGTCCCCAAGAAACACTTAATGCGCTATCAGAGATGGGATACAGGAGTAGCTAGACCTGTGGCCTGGCTCAGGGTGTTTGCTGTTATATTTATAATTGATTTATCATTATAATTTCCTGTATTTTTCCCTTCCCCATTTCTAAAGACTGGCTCTGTACCTGATCTCCTCCCACTTTCCAGGGCCTTCCTCTTACACTGTGGTTACAAGTAGGTGACTGCTCTACTGAAGCCCTCTGTGCTTTGGGATAAGTGTTACCATGTCCCGAGCACCCCATCCTGGCTTGAGCCAGTTGGCATGCATGCCCCGTGGTGCCTACCTTTGCTGTTTATTATGACCTTGTAGAGGTCAGAGGGGGGGCCCAGGCTTGTGCAATGGTACACCAGCACCTCCAGGCTGTACTCCGTGTTGAACTCCAGATCCGCAATGCGGGCAGACAGCACGGATATGGATGTGATGTTTTTCTCACAGACGAGCCTCCTTGCAGAGTCAAAGAGATGGACGATGAACCCATGTGCCGGCTCGTGGTTATTTGGCAATTTCCAGTTGACATGAAGTGTGTTTTTCTCCTCTATGGACCAACCTTCAATCACAGGCTTGACTGTGGGCTCTGTGAATAAAAAGGCAGCAAAAAACTCTTTGCCTCGCAGCCCTTGGCACTTTGCAGGCCGTGAAAGTTTTCAGCCCTGCATTACACTGCTTTCCCTGGCTACGCGGAGCCCCTGCTCCCACCAGCCACACAGGGGAGGGACTTGCCAGGAAGTTCGGATGAGGGTTAGGATTAGGTTTAGGGAAACAGGGGGCTTACCTACACACTCGGTCACCATGATGGCCTCTGGCCCCTTGCTGCCCTCCCCACCGTCCCCCGGCCGGGTCAGCTGCACCTTGACAACATAGGAGGTCACTGGTCGGAGGTTCATGAGGGTGATGTTCTCGCTGTTGTCAACTGTTGGCCAAGAGGACATGTCAAAGCAATACCTCCAACCCACACTCTGCCCCGCCCGAAAATAGGTGTCCTCCTCAGTCCACCCGAAATAGGTGTCCTCCTCAGTATCTCCACAGACGGACCCAGGAGCTCCTTGTGAGTGGGATGGAGACCTCTGCCCACGCCAGCAGGCTGGGATAACTGGGACCCCACACTGCTTCCACTGGGACCTCACACAAGTATCTGACCCTACTGCAGGGCCTCTGGGGCCCAGGTGAGCATAGTCTGGCAGGGATGGCTGTTCAGGCAGCCCAGTGACAAGCCTAGCTGGCCTCCAAGCAGCATCAGTGCCTGCTGGCTCCACCTGCTGTTTCAGGATAACCAGCTTCTGGGAGCAGTTTGTAGGGGCCCCTTAGGCTTTCTCTGCTCTGTCTCACCTAAAGCAGGTGATACCAAAGGGATCCAGACCTCAGCTAGTACAGCAGTCCAGGGCCTTGAGAGCTGGGGCAACCATCCCCTCCCAGCCAGGTCCTCCCTGTGCCCCCCCCAGCCCTTGGTGGACACATACCCACAATGGAAGACCACACCGAGGTGTCGTCCTTGGGCTTGTAGAGCAGCTTGATGGAGACAATGGGTCCATCACCAGAGAAACAATCCACGGGTGACACCACGAGCTGCCTGCTCTGCTTGGCAAGCAGCCGGGGAGGGGTCAGGGGTGTGGGTGGCACTGGGGGCAAAGGAAGGAACAGAGCCAGTGAGACTGGGAGCAAAGAGGAACAGAGCATGGGGATATCCAAGACATCGTGGCTCCCTCCAGCTTTGTTGGGGATGGGGGGGGAGAAGGAGACCCTCTAAGTCTTTTATCAGCACCCAAACCTGTCTGCTGGCACTGTGACACAAGATGCTGCCACTGCCCACCAGTGTCCAGCCCAAACAGCAGGCAGCCGGGGCCTTTCCCCGGCTATGTGCAGATTAGCATGCCCACGCTGTGCCATCAGCCTCCCCCACTGGCCCTGGGTCATCTCATTCTGGCTACTAGCCTTCCCTCACCTCTGATGTTGACTTTGACTTTCCGGCTGTCCTGCCCCCCAGTTGTGGAGACTCTGCACTCCCAGAGCCCTGCGTCGGCCTTGGTCAAGCTCAGCACCTGGAACTCGCATGTGATCTGCCCTGGCTCGATGATGGCTTTGATCAGCTGCGGGCACAGAAGGTGCTGTTAGCTTATACCAGGCCAGGTGAGAGCCAGTGCCCTGCTCCCCATGCCAGTGCTTGCAGATTTTAACTCATCGGGCCTGGGAGCAGCAGAGATCAGAGGGGAGACGGGCATCTTAGGGGGAGCCCGCAATGTAGGACCGGGGCTGTTGCCCAGGGTTTATGGTGGGGCGAAGGGGCCAGGTCGCCATGTGCATGTGGGGGCAGTGGGGCAGGGTGGAGGCAGTGGGAAAGGCACCCGGTGAGCAGTTGGTACCTTGAGCACAGTGCCGTCAGCCTTGCGCATCTCCACGCTGTCACTCGCAGGCAGTGGGTTTCCAGTGGCCACGCAGCTGATCACAGGCTCCGAGCCCAGGTTGAACTCCAGCTCCGAGGCCAGTCTGATGATCTGGGGGAACCGGTCTGGTGTAGAGAAAGTAACATTAGAAAGGACCCTGCCCCTCCCCAGGCATGTGAGAGGCTCAGATCTTTCCCGGTGAGCCAGTCCTAGGTCTCAGACACACAGCTACAACCCCGGGTGCCCCAGTGCCCACAGCCCTTGTGTCCCGGGGTCCAGGTTGGGTGCTAAGGTCTAACCATGGCAGCGCAGGGCCCAGGTTGCCAGCCCATGTTCCAGACTGAGCAAGAACATGGCTAATTTGGAAGGGGCAGACTAGATATTTCTCTTACAGCACCATCTTTTCCATGGGGCTGGGGACTATTTGTGCAGGCAGGCTTAGGTGACATTGGCTACTGATTTGGCTGTTGAGCCAGCTGCCCACATGGTTAACAGAGAGGAAGGAGCTGGAACCCACCTGACAGCAAGGGACAGGCACCCAATGCAGCCCCCACGCCAGGCTAGGCCAGCAACAGCCTCACCTGACTTCTCGCAGTACTGTCCATGCCAGCCTGATGGGCACACGCAGCCACTGAAGCGGTTACAGCTGCCTCCGTTTCGGCAGGAGCACCCCAGGGCGCAGTCTGGGCCATAGTATCCTGGGGGACAGGCTGAGAGAAGAGGAGAGCTCACTGTTAACCCCCTGGCCACGGGGCAGGGTCGCAGCCAGGGGCTAGCGCAGAGCAGCCCTTCAGCCCTCTGGGAGCCAGAGACCGTGGAGAGCTGGTACACACACCAGCACTGCTAAGCTGGGGAGAGCCTGGTGGCTGGCAGGCAGGGGGAGAGCAGTAATGGAGCAGGCAACATATCTCTCCTGTAACCAAGGAGAACCCTTGTCCCCAGGCTGCCAGTCAGGTGCTACAGGCAACACCCAGGGCAAAAGGAAGGGTGAGCATGGGATGGGGGCCTACATCCTACACTGTGGGGACCGCTGTCCGACTCAGCTGCGGTGCAGAGTGAAGGACAGGGTGGGGAGAGACCTGGCAAGTGGTGATATAACCAGCTTGATGTGACAGTGGGTGAGACCATGAGCAATTTGTATGGGTGCTGCTGTTGCTAGAGAACAGAGCCAGGTCCTGGAGGATGCCCTGGCCTTCTGCAGACAGAAAGGATGAGCTGACCCTATGCCGGACCAGCTGGCTGGAGGGCTGCCTCTGTCGGGCGAGGGTGGACAGGCAGTTAGCCTATGTCCCAGTACCTTGGTTGCAGCGGGAACCACTCCACCCAGAGGCGCAGGAGCAGCCGTAGGGATCTGGAAGGCAGAAGCTGAGCCCCCTGCAGCCCTGGGCTCTCTGGCATGTCTCTTGGCAGTTACGGCCAAACTGGCCTTCCCGACAGGCTGAAAAACAAGAATGGTGTCTGCCCTCATTGGCTGTTTGCTGGGCTCCCTTCCCAAATACATTCATCCTCCTCCTGGGCACTGCTTGTGCAGGGGCATGGCACTGGCTCAGTGTCCCAGAGCCCCACAAAATTCTCCCAAGAACACAAGCGGCCCCCGCACTGCCACACTGCCCCCACCCTGTAGCCTTGTCATGCAGAGAAGCGGGGTGGCCCTAGCCCTGCTCCAGAAACAGCGGCACCAGGGCCAGGGAGGCCCGGGGAGTTTCTAGCTGTGGTCTGCGCATGCAGGGGCTCGGTGGAGGCCCCCACATGCACACTGGGCACCGCTCCTGCTACTGGACCCCTGCGGAGGGCAGGCCGCCAGACACCCTACCTCTCTCACAGCGAGTGCCCATGAATCCGGGCGGGCAAATGCATTCACCGACGTGGTCGTGGCAGACGCCCCCATTCAGACAGTCGGGACAGTCCTTCTCGCAGGAGGGCCCCCATTTCTTTGCGGCACACGCTGCAGAGAGAGCAAGGATGCCAAACCCATTGGCTCCCAGGTTGCTTCCCTCAACCCTTCAGCCTCCCTATCACTCAGGCCAGGTCCATGGGCACCTCCATTGCCCGTACCCACACCGGGTCCTGCCACCAAGACCCAGTACCACACCAAGATCTGGAGCCCCAGAGTCTCCTGCTCTCCTCAAGGACGTGGTGGCCCACTGCACCCCATCGTGGCCCTGGCCCCAAGAGCAGTGGGGGAGCCCAGGCGCTTGCTGCCCCTTGCCACCCCCCAGCCCCTCTCACCTCTGACGATCAGTCGGTAGAAGGCGCTCCACAGTGGGCTGTCCCCCATAAATGTGGCACTGTAGACGCCATTCTCACTCACGCTCACATTGGGGAGCGTCAGCGTGAAGAGGTTGCCCCGCACCTCACCCCGATCTGTGGTCTGGTAGTAGGTACCTGCAAGGGGGCAGAAGGGTCGTGGTGTCTGCCATGGCGCAGGAGCAAGCTCTAGGGCTGGCCCCAGGGCCGGTGCGGGCTGCACTGCTGCAGCCCCCACCTCCCCGGGGGGGCTTCCATTGGGAGGCAAGGTCACTTACCATTTCTTTTCCACATAACGTCTGTCTCCTTCTTCTTGAGGACTCTGGCAGAGAAGGTGGCTGGCTCAGCGATGTTGACGGACTGCGTGGCCTTCACAGGGAATAGATGGGCTGTGAGAAGGCAGAGCGTGCTGAGCAGCGGTGGTGACCGGGAAGGCAGCACTCACCCCCTCAGCACCAACCCTCTGGAAACCCAGCTTGGGGCCACGCAGAATCTGCCATGCAGGTGTCTGCAGCCATGTTCAGGCCAGGGGTACCCGGTACTTTCACGTAGTACTGCGGCTCATCACTTCAACAAGCCCTGTGACAGCGGGGTGCCTGGTTAATGCGCCAGCCGCCCAACTAAACACATACTGACTGCTATCCATGGCAGGTATTTATCATGCCAAGAAATGTCAGAAAAGTTGCAGTTTGCAAGCACTACAAATTTCGGAGGAGTAAACAGTTTTGCCTGCAAAACTTGTATTTGCCCCCTCTTCACTGAGGTTGGAAGCAGAGGGGAGGTAATACTTCTCAGTATATCATCACCCCCCAGGTTGGGGTTACGGAGCGAGCGAAGGCAGGAGCACAGGCAGACAAGGGGCTGGAGCGTGAACTGAGGACCTGCGCACCACCCCTGCACCACTGGCCAGCGGCTGCCCCTGCCTTTACCAGAGCGTTTGCCAGAGCTGTCATTTCCAAATTTCCCAGGCGTTCAGGTATGCAGCAGCAATGAGCTCTCATAGCTGTACAGTGAGTCAGCCAGAGCCCTGCTCTGAGCATAAATCAAGCTATAAATATGTTAAAGATGGTGGAACCAGGCCCTGGGTGTGCCAGCACAGACACAAAAAAGGGCACATTTGGGTTCTGGCAACCGAAGCCTCCCAACATGCCAGATCGCACGCATCGAAACCAGCCGTGTTGAGTCAGACCAGAGGCACATCCAGCTCTTTGTGGTATCTCCGGCGCTGGCCAGCAGCGAGGAGGAAATGGGGCACACAGCAGAGGCCTGGGGAAGAGCCTAACAGGTCGAGCGTGTCCCAGTCATTCCCCAAAAGAGCCTCCCAGGCTTTAGCAGTTTTCACTCAGGAACTTCCTGAGTCAGGTATTACCTTTCTACCTAATATGCCCCTGTTGAGGTTTTTCTTCCATTGATTTTGCACTTCCTGTTAAAATGCATAGAAATTTAGCCTGTCCTACCTGCGGCTTGGCACTCCTGAGGCTAAATTCTGGATGCACGCGGGGGACCTCTTCTCCTTCCTTTTGCACCTGCTCATTACTAGTTTCTTGTATTGGCAGTGGGAGAGAATAAGTGGTCACTTGGCATTCACTCCCAGACACTCAGGATCTCATAAACCCTCTACAGCCATCTCTCTTCCAGCCTGAGGAGTCTCTGCCTGCCTAATTGATCCTCATGCTGATGCTGTCTCACACCTTTAATTGTCAGCATTGCTCCCCTCTGAACCTTTCTTAAGTCTAACATAGCCTTTCTGAGAGACTGGATTTTCTGCTGGGCATTCACCTCAAGCCTACAGAAATTGCTGTAGCAGCCCAGGGGGTCTGCCAGGTGAAAGAGAGAGCCCAGCATTTTCCAGGGGAAGCTGGAGGGTTCCCATATGCATCGCTTTGCATTTACCTCCACTGAGTTTCCTCTGCCACTTGATCGCTAGCCACTCAGTTTTGGCAGTTCTTCACAGAATCCACCCCTTCTCTTTCTCTCCCTGATTAGCTTAGTAACACCAGCAAACATGGTCACTTTTTCAGTCATTTATGAATACATCCAGTAGCATAGATTCCTGAAGAGACACTGTGTGACTCTAGCAGTGCCTTCTCTGCACGGCAAGAACTATTCTTGTTTCCTTTCTTTTAGTCAGTTATTGATCCATGTAAAGACTTCCCCTGTCGCCACATGGTTGCTTAGTTTCTTTCAACCAGACAGAGCCTTTGGAAGGGAATTTTCTAATGTTTTCCGGGAATGTGAGCAGACAGCATCAACCAGATCTCCCACATTATCCTCGCTACTGATGCCTTCAAAGAAATCCAGCTACAGAGCATTACCTGCCTCTATAAAACATGCGATGGCTCTTTCTCAGGGTGTCATGTGCCTACTAATTCTGCTCTTTATTACAGTTTCTACTGATTGTCCGGTCGAGATTTACGTTTACAAACCTGTAATTCCCTACCTAGAAACTCTTGTAAAGTAGCTGGCATCAGACTTGCAACCTTGCAGTCAGTCCTCTGGCACCAAGGCAATTTTAAGAAAGAGGTCACACACCACAGTCAGCAATTTAACAATATGGTACTTTTCATTGCAACACCGTCCTGGCAACATGGTATTGCTCATTTTGGCTATTTATTCCATGTCCTCCTCTGTCAGCACTTTGAGACAGATTTTCTGACAAGTTCCCTATAAATTAAGGTTTCATTGTGGGAATTTCCACAAACTTCTCTATGGTGTACATAGACGCAAAAAAAAAAAAAATCGCTTTTCTGCAGTGGCCTATCTGGGAGACTTTCTGTCCCTGAGATTTTGAAAAATGTTGTATTGCCAATTTTAAACCCTTCCTAAATTGCCTCTTACGTTCTTTTTTGTTTTTTTTTGTTTTTTTTTTTGCATGAAACCTTCCAAAGTTTAGGATCCTTCCTATTTTCTTTTTTTTATTTTTATTTTTTTCATTTGTGCACAACACAACACTTTGGAAGATATCAGCTTGCTTCTAGCAATTTTTCCTACCGGCTGCTTAGTGATTCACACACACTTGTGTGCTTTCTTAGCCTTTGAATGAGAGGTGACATGCACTTGAACCTCCAAGATGGTTTCCTTACATAGCCCTCACTCCCCCTGCAAAGATCTAATATTTTTAGTTACCTTTTCCTTTCAGCAATCTTCCTCATTTTTAGTTACTTCTCCTTCTCTAAATTAAACAGACCAATGGTAACTTCTTTGGCTCTTGTTACTCCCACAGGGGTTTTGAGCCCAGGCACGTAAGAGGGAGTCTCAGTGAGCAGCCCGTGGGAAGCGGTATTGTGAATCAGGTCCCAGTGGTGATCCGGGGGCTGGCACGGAGCAGCTCCCTCTCACCACCAGGCTATGTGACCCTAAAGCTCTCATCTCCCTCTGTGACTTGCACCTGGGATGTACAGGGGCGTGAAGCCCTCTGCCATGCTCCTGACCCTGCCAAACCCCTGTGGCCCGTGGACAGCCCTACCGCCGTGCTCTACCTGTGTTGTCCTGGCAAGAGACAGGGAAATCCCGCAGAAAGGCATCCTCTGTCGCTTGTTGATACAGTTAGTTTCTAAACCTGATTCCATTTCAGCCTTTCTTTAACATACAGCACTACTCTTTGAACATCACAGCAGACTCAGTCTTTCCTATTTGCTTTTGTTTGGTATTAGCATATCCCCCGACTCTGTTTGTCCTCTGCTGGTGCCTCTTTGGCGCTCTGTTTGTCCAGACTAGTCGTCTCCGTTTCCGATATGACTGCTGCCATTTTCAGGTCAAACTTCTGGCCAAGGACACAGTCCCAGTCACTACTTTTTGGAGGATGTGTGGACCCCAGAGGCCTGTTCCTTATCGCAATCTCTGTTCCACAGCTTGGAAATATTAGAGCTGCTCAAAAAATTATAGTACAATTGTGTTTTAATAGAGGGAAGGGAATATGTAGTCTCCTCATTTCATTCTCAGTAAAAGGGGGACTGTTTTAGCTGAAACTTTCTAAAAAGGACCCAGAAAGCATCCTAAGGCAATTACCTATTACAGAAAATTTCAGTCCTGATAGTCATAGTTTTGCAGTCTCGAGCACCTGAAGAAGGGAGGTTACAGGGGGCCGTGTCAGACAATGTTAAGCCTGGACGTTACCCCCACTGTGGCCTAGCCCAGGGATGCCCTTTGGGCTTACAAGGCACTAAATAGGAGATGGAGCACGAAGGCAAGAGCCCAGCATTCAGCGTTGCCCTTGACTGCCTGCAAGCCCTTGGCAATGCCTTTCGCCATCGCAGGAGGCCGCGAAGTCCTGCTGCTGCAAGGAGCTTGGCAGCCCTGAGCTTGCCAAAGCACACGTTCAGATCCAGAGGGCACAACCTTATCCTCAAGGAGACTGAAAGGAGGTGTACCTCCCCACAAGAAGCTGCTTTGTGCACTCTCATGCTTCCCGGGAGCCACAGCACAGCTTGTCCCACATGCCCCCTTCAAAAAGCCAGTTACGATCCCAAATATGCAGTTGAGAGTCCCCTCAGCAGCTTTTCTTCACTCTGATCCTGCAGGCTCCTCGGCACCTGCTACTGCAATGTTTCCATTCATAGGCATGGTGCTGGGCAGAGTCAGCCCCTTCGCGGTCCTCCCGGCACGAGGCTGGAAGCACTACTCTGTGATGGGCTAATCTCTTCCTGGTTAATGATTTTCAAACCGCGCTACCAGAGACACCCTCCTCCAGAGCCGTCTGACTTCCTGTTACTTGGACCTTGGCTTGATCCTGGGCACAATTCCCATCTCAGCCAGCTGCCTACAATGTGACTGTTGCCCTTCCTGGCAAACCTCCTTGAGAGAGGTGACCCACAACTCTGGTGGAAGACATGAAACGCCCTTGGAGTTCAGCCATACTCCTCAGCTGAAAATCACAGTAATCCCATATTTTTGGGAGGTCGCAAAAGCTATTTATTGGACTAGGTGTCATCTCCTGCACGTCACAAGTTAATCTACAGCACCATACAAACATTTAACTGAGATAAATGCATGCTGCTCGTGACTGGTGCTTGGATGAGTCAAGCCCCAGTGGTGGTCAATCACCTCTCCCATGCCCCTCCCGCTCAAGTGCCACAGGTGCCATGGCAAGGTGGTGGCTACCCACTGAGCACAGGCCTGTTGGCCTTCCAGTGCCAGTAGACCCCAAATCTGGCTTCAAAGAGTAGGTCACCACTGTCCCACCATAACACCCTCCTCAGTTGCACCAGAACTGCAAAGCTCAGAGGGTGGGGGAAGAAGCCTGTAACTGCAGGCTTCACATGCAGTCTCCAGCTTGCCTGTGGAGGAGCTCCCAGGGGGGGACATGCCAGCACCCCAGGAGCCCCCAGCCAACTCACCATTGTGGCTGTTGTGCACATAGACCACCTGGGCCTGCTCTGTCTGTGTGCGCCCCAGGCAGTAGAGGATCCCCACCAGGTCAGGCATGGAGAAGCCCCTGGCCTGGACATGATTGCTGCGGTTGTGGTAGTTTTGGAAGCCCGTCTTGGGGTGTGTCATCACAATTTTGTTGTCCCTCTCGATCTGCAGGTAACTCACGTCGCGCTCGCCCATGACGCAGGAGAGGAAGAAGTCAGAGTGGGACAGGCTCTGCACGTTGGCAATTAGGGTGATGTCCAGGATGGCCCCTAGGATGGGAGCACAAAAGCACGTCATGAGCCGCGGCCTGGTCCTTGCATGCCAGACGAGAGCACCGGCCATCCCAGCCCTGCATCAGGGTCAGTCATCATGACAAACCCCATACCTCAGATGTAAACCCCTCCTCCCCAGGCCTTCTTGCCCCCTGCACAGCTCCAGAGCCATGCCGGGGCACAGCCTCTCTCCCTGTCCCCAGGTTGGTACAGAGCCCATCTGGACAGCAGGGTGGGGATTTCTAGTCTCTTTTGGGGGAGCTCCTACCTTAATGCCCTGGAGCACCCACACGAGCCCAGCATGCAGCCAAAGCAGGACGGGAGGTCTTAGGGCTCCTCTTCCCACTGGCCTTTCCTCCTGTGAGTTGGTCATGCTGCTAGCCCCGTACCAGGGGAAAAACAGGTGGGAGAGGGCAGCTCAGCCCTGAGATTAGGTCCCCTCACTGTCAGGCTCTGAGAAGATATCCAAATTCCCTATAAGACAGGGATGCTTCCTTCCTCCAAGCCTATCTGTGCTCACAAGCAGCTCTGGAAAGAACAAACCCTGCTCCATCCCCACCCCCAGCACTGCCGATTGCCCTCGATTCTCTAGTCCCACAAAGCTTCCCTGGGGAAGGGGCTGGTTCCCTGGGAGCAGAAGGGAAGAGGGAGAAGAATTTACCTGTCAGCCATGGGAGGAGAAGTAGAAGATAAACCTGGAGTCCCATGTCCTTGAAATGTGTCCTGAACCTGGCACAGGTTAGAAAATCCCAGATATGCCCCAGCAGCAAGAGAAGGAGCTGGAGGGCTGCTGCTCCCTATCCGCTCCCCATGAGGGATGGCTCAGGGCCCTTGCTCTCTGTCCGTGGCTCCCATCTTGCCTTCTCACCGCTGCCCAAGGTCTGGAGGAGCTGGGAGGCCGTCCTGGTGTTCATATTGCAGGCACAGCGAGGAAGAGACTCCCCATTCCCCGCCTAAGAACAGCACTGTGCCCAGTGCCCTGCTCGGCTTCTGCCAGGATCTCAGCAGGCTCCAGGGATCGGCGCAGACAGCCCAGGTGGCAATGGGAAGAGAACGGCGCAAGTAGGACTTTGTGGTAAAGAGGCCACCAAGCTGCTGATCTGTCAGGGAGAAGGGACCTCGTTCCTGGAGGAGTCACAGCTGTGTATTCAAGGCACCCAGCGCCATGCTGACTCCCCCAGCCTGGTAGGGAGGCGTCTCAGCCCCCTTCCTCGCCCACAAGGAGAAGATCTCACGCTTGAGCCCATTTGCACAGCAGCATCCTCAGCCCCTCAGCACACTCCCGCCACCCGTCGGGATGGCTGGTGCGAGAGAGGCACTGGGGAGCCAGGGAGACCGACAGCTGTGGGAAGAGCTCTCTTGAGCAGGCTCAGCAAGGGAAAGGAAGGAGGCCAAGGGGCCGCGGCTGGCGGCAGTGGAGTGAAATCCTGTTTCCCATGCAGCGTTTCCTGCTCTCCACCCATTGTTCTGACATGGCCCTGACTCCCGGAGACGGGAGCGCCTCGCCGCGTGGCGGGAGCTGCCCTGCAAAGCCTCTTCCCTGGAGAGCGGCAGGCAGAGACGCTCAGTCCTTACCTGTTTCATAACACTGTCCGTCCGGCAAGCCCCTGAAGCCTTGGCCTCCTCCTGCTATGAGCCAGGCTGCCAAGACATGAATCCACAGATTCAGCCCAGAGCCCACATAAACCAGCACTTCAGCCCTGATTTAAAATGGAGCCTGAAAAACTGGAAGAAGGTCCAGTGATATGACTGAAGGTCAGGAAAAGACCCCTCACAGGAGCAAGGTTGCAGAGGCTGTCTGTAAGTAGCGCATAAAGCACATTGACTGGCATGGCGATTCAGAGCTGGTACAGAGGCAGGCTTAACCACAAAGGCTCAGGGGATTCAGTCTACAGCTCTACCCAGAGACTCTCTGCATGGCTGTAGTCCTGGGCTGCAGTTTTCAGTGCTTGAACTCAGCTGGAGTCAGTGAGAGTTTTCTGCTCACAAGCCTTGAAGAAAAAAAGCTTCACCATGGCTGGGCCTGTAACAAGAGGGTGACACTGTCCCCCAGCTCCTGCAGTACAGGGAAGAGGCCAGTGGTGCTGAGGACACCCTGACAAGGGCAGTCCTGGGTATGCTGGAGCTTCTCTGAGAGGCTTAAAAATTGCTCTCAGTCCTAACTCATACTGAGTGCTGCCTTCCTAAGTGAAGGGACAGCCCCTCTGTGTCACGTTCCCATTGCTAGTAGAAATGTTACCAAGTAGTACAAGAAACTCCTAACACTGCTCCTGCTCATGTCCTTCCCTTCCCACCTTCCCTCACATTTCCATGTGACTGCGCAGAGCTCCCACCATATCAGATTTTGCCAGTACAGTGTATATGGCAGATGCACAGAGCTCCACCAACCTCAGCGACATCCCACCATGCCACACAACTTGGGAACACTGCTGATAGGAAGGGGAGGAGAGGGGCCAGCTCACGGGCTCAGGGTGGTGCCCCTCACCCCTGCAGCTCTGGCAGGATCTACAGGGAGTGAAGAAGGATCCCACTGAGGCCTAGTCAATAGTTGTTTTGGAGAAATCTGGATGATGGGCTCCTTGCAGCGTTCTCTCCCTCGAGCTACCTGTCAAGGGATCTCCTGGGGGCACGTGAGCAATCTAAGCATCCGGACTGACCAGCAGGGAAAGGCACATTGCACGTGGGACACACAGCTCTGTTGGCATCCCTGAGAATGTGCAGGACCTTGGCCTCCTGGAGAGAGGCGTGGGGAAGGGGTTGGGGTGGCAGCACGCACCAGGAGCGCTTGGACTTGTCCTGGGCTGGGTCCACACTTGTGGGAGACTGCGCAGGGGCACAAGCCCCCTTGCACCAGTGGCTTCCCCTGAAGGATGAATCAGCCAAATTATGCCCAAAAGTGGTGTCTGGAATAATGCAGGGAAGAGATCCCAAAGCCAATCTGTCAGCAGAGGCTGTCTGGTTTGAAAGTGGCCAAATGCGAGCTAGAGCATTCGCAGCACAAGACAAAGCTGGCTGGCCTGAACTGGAGAGCGGGAGTGGCCATCAGAGAACAAAAACCTCTGCAGTGCAGTAAACATGTCTGGGGGGAAGCTGAAAGCAGTAGAAAGCCCAGCTTTCCTTGACTGTTTTCCAGCCTGCCTCTCCCTTTCCCATTTCACAAATGGCCTGTCCTTGGGTTACACCCGGGAACCTCCGAGGCCCACAGGCAACATCCCAGCACACGTGGCATGCTTTGCTGCAACCTGGCCCCCTGCTCATTGCGCACCGTGCACAGCCCGCCACACACAAGCGTGCACACAGCTGCCGCTCAGCAAGGCTCGCGGGCCTGCTACGCTGCCCTGCGGACACGCGTGCAGCGTCCCAGACTGTACTGGGCTCTCCAGTGAGACAAGGGTGACCTCAAAGAGGGCTCTGTGCACCTGAGGTTAATCTGACAATATTTAAGGTATTCCTGGTGAAATCACCATAATCTTCACCTGCTAAACTTCATGTTGTTTCACAAACAGTGCCCTGAAGTGTTCCCATGTGAAAACCAGGACTGCTGGGGAACAAGCCTTATGTTTTGGTGTGTCCAGAGCCCATGCAGTATCCGGTCGAAAATCTAAAGAACACATGGACAGGAAAGGGAAATCCATTCATTGTTTCCGACTATTTACAGTGCACTCCAGGGACGTACAGTGCCCCTGAAGAGTGTGGAGTGATTAGAGCAGACAGGGACTCTGCCACACCACTGCTGACTCTTCACCCTGGCACAGGCTGCTCCCACACACTCCCATGAACACAAACACTGCAGCCAGCCTGAGACAAAGAGATGGAGAGACTGCAAAAAAGATGGACACTGGGTTGTAGCTGCCCACATTTGTCTGGAAAACTAGTCATGTTGCTTTCCTGGTTGATATTTGGGTGGGTATGCGTAGGGGCTCCATCTTTGGGGACCCACGGAGCATTTGAGGCTCAACTATAATTTAAACAAATCAATGTGTTTCCAGAAGTGAGGATGTCACTGAGATGGACACGCACAGGCTGGGCAACCAAAACCTGTTCCTCTTATAATCTGTATTCTCCAGTCCCTCCGCATTCCCATGAACTGCCATGTGCTTATTTGCCTGTCAAATCCAAAGCTCATTTGCAAGTTCTTTGGGTCAGGGACTCATCCATACATTCGGTACAGCTGCAGGAAGGTGGATAGATACATAAACACATAAATAAATGGCTTCTTTCCACCATCCCATTGTTCACGAACTGTAGAGGTCAGTCACACTTGGTACTATAATTACCATTGTGCTATCGTGTACTTACACATATTGCAGCTAGATAAATAATGGGAGCACAGGCTCACATTCTGCGATCACTTGACAATGCAGCAGTACTAATAAAACAATAATTTACGACATATATTGTAAAGTGTCATCTGACATGAAAAATCATTTGGATGAAGGGTTTATCTACATGGCACAAACAAGCTTTATTGGAAGGCTTTGCAACCATGGGCCTTGCAGTATGCTCCTCCAAAGAGCAAAGCATGTCTATGGTTCCAGGAAATGGATCCAGGGCATTGCTTTGATCTTTTGGGGAAGTGGATCCATTTAGCCATCAGTTGTCCATACCAGGTGATGTCCAGAAAATCTAAGGGATCTGTCGAGGGATCAGACACAGTCTGATTTGTCCGGTTGCTTTTTTTCTAGAAAGACCTAGGTAAGAGGTTTCTATTTGTGCGAATCCCTTGGGTTAGAGGTAGGGTAGGAAACTTCTTTGGGGGTCCATGGGGAGACTCAGTCAGGATCCCACAGCTCCAGTTTAACCTGATGTTGCTCCAGAAAATCAGTGGTCCTGGGTTAGCTATGCCCAGCTGAAGCAGCCCACCACACCTGCTCTCCTCTCCGCTGATATGGAAAGCTCCATTTACCCGACCCATAGCACAAACCTCACACAACTGAATGCTTTTTCTGCAGAACTAACAGACCCAAACTTTTTTGCTGACTCATGATGAAGTAAAAGAATTAGTGACAAAAATAACCCTTTTCGGTGTCATTTACCCATTCTAGTCCAAGGTATCACATGCCCTGATACATTTCCTGATAGGAAATGCAAACACCCTGTTAACTCACCTACAGGATGCATCAGCAACACTTTCTAGTCCTACTTTTCTGGCCATTTGTTTAGTTTTATGTCCATGGTGCCAGTCTTGTACAACAGGAGCGGGGTCCACACATATAAATGGAAACACGCCCTTGGGGAGGCTGCTGCTGAGAACGAGCAGGAATCGCTCCCGTTGCTTTAGGCGGGTGCAGGTCTCTGGGACATAGGCCAGGGAAGGCCCTGCAACGCAGTGCTAAAAGCTGCAGCCGCCAGGCTAGGAGCAGCCCTGGAGCGGGGACAGCATGTCACGGGCAGGCATCTGCTCCGCGGCCCGGCATCCCCAGTCCCCAGTCCGCCGGGCTGCCTTGGCAGAGCATTTCGGGAAGAGGGTGGAGAAGGCCAGCTGCAGCAGGAGCAGGCAGGGCGCCTGTCTGTGTTTGCATTCGTCACACGTTTGCAGGAGCAAGGACGAGCTGGGAAACACTTTTCCCGAGGAAAGGGTGGGGA